ACCACAGCTTGTTGTGGCCCACACTGCCCAAAGCCTTGGCACAGTCATTGGCACACGAGGAAACATCTTTCTGGAGTTCTCTGCTTGAGCCAAGATCCATCTGACATCAGCAACGATCTCCCTGGTTCCACATCCTCTTCTGAGCCTGTCTGAACCTCTGGCAGCTCCCTGTCAGTGGGAATCAATTTCACCAAAAAGTGTAAGACTTGAACCTCGACAACCACAAAGCATGGAAAGAAACGAAAGACAACACACAAGCCCACTGCCATGGAGGCAATCAGACCTTGTAACACAACGCGGCCTACCACCATCGAGTGTGTTGTGACTCAAAAGGAGGCCATGACGGGTTTCCAAGGCTGTAAATCTCTCCGGGTCCAGGACAACCTCAGCTTTCTCTCCAAAGAGCTGCCGGCTGCCGGTGGGTTTGAACAGCCAACCTCATGGTTAGTAACACAACGCCGACCAATAGCACCACCAAGCCGTAAAGACAAAAAAACCAAATAACAATCACGGTGGCATCTGGCCATAGTCCTCACGGTCACACGTGGATGCCGGCACAGGATGGGTCCGGGGAAAGGAGTGGGCATCTTTGAGTGAGGGGAGCGAGGAAGCCAGGGGCTATATTGGGGGGGCGGCAGTCAGATGAGAAGAAATCAAGTTGCTCATGACGTTGTCCCCTTCTCCTGTCTGGATGGCCCAAGGGATGGGGGTTGGCAGCGACACAGAGTCCGAGAGTCCCTAACAACCTTGCCTGCTTGGGTGTCTGTTTCCTCAGGGCTGTTTCCACAAGCTCATGAGACTAACCAAGATTCAGTGCTTCACCCTGAGTGGAGGCTTGCTGGGGGCAGTGGCAGTCCAGGTAAGACACTGCCCCTCTTGGATATGTCCAAGGCCTTTATCAAGTACCTCCTGCGTGCCGGCTCCTATTCTGGGTACCAGGGATACGGGCATGAACGAGAGACGCAAAGTCCTGCCATGGTGGAGGTGACGTTTTGGCTGGGGAGGTGGTGGTCATAAGGAAGTCTGATAGGGTCATTGGATAGGGACCGGCATCAAGGAAGGGCTTCCCTGAGGAGGTGGCCTTTGTGCAGTGACCAGAGGAGGTGGAGGAGGACAGGGGGGCATATTGGGGAAGGAAGCCAGGACAGTGGTACAAAGGTCCCGAGGCAGGAATTTGCTGGGATTCTTCAAGGATCAGGCAGGAAGCCCAGGCACAGAGTGAGTGAGGAGGTGGCGGGAGAAGAGGGCAAGGAGTCAGTGGGGCAGACAGCGGACTGCTGCGAGGCGGTTGGCTTTTATCCTGAGTGTGGGCGAAGCCAGCTGAAGGATCGCCACATCTACCATTCCTTCTCTCGGGGGCCGGGCACCGTTGTAGGCACTGGAACGCAGCAGTGAGCATCTCTGCCCCCCCCCTTCCCCCTACCCCCAAAGGTGATGGTTTCATCAAAAGACAAAGAAGAAGTCTAGTTTAAAATGCATCCCGTGGTAGAACACGATGCATGTGTTCAGGAGAAATATAAAGTTGGAGCGAGGAAAAGAGAGCCCCTTCCAAACGGAGGGGTCTCATGAATAGCTGGCCTAGAGAGGGAGGGGGAACACTGGGGTCATCGTGGTTGGGTTGCAGACCACAAGGTCAGTAGTTCGAAACCACCAGCCACTCCTGCAGGCGAAAGTTGAGGTTCTCTGCTCCTGTGAAGAGCTGCAGTCTCAGAAACTCAACAGGGGGCAGTGCCACCCTGCCCAAGAGCCTCGCTGTGAGTCGGCATCGACTTCTAGGCAGTGAGCTTGGTGGTTGGTTTTGGTTGGTTGGTTTTTTAAGAGATGGTAGGAGGTAGGAGCGCCACAGGGACCTCAGGTCTGATTCTAGACGCAGGTCCGCCTCGCCGCGGCTAACGAGCCTGACCTGCACTGATCTGGTCAGAGGCCTGAGTGGGCAAGTGCAGGCACTTTTCAGTCCAGTGGGAGGTCGGGGCCTCCCTCCTTTGTCCAGCGAGCTTCCCAGGATTTGCAGGAGGCACTGACGAGGCCGTCACCAAGGGTCCATGAAGCCTGGCCTGGAGTGTGAACTGACTCTAGGAAGTGATGTTGTTGTTGTTGTGAGGTGCCTTCCCGTCAGCCCCGGCCCACAGCGACCTTGTGCGCAAGAACGAACCCCTGCACAGGCCTGCGCCAGCCTCATCACGGTCCCTGCTGTGCCTGAGCCCACCGATGCAGCCGCCGCGTCGGTCCATCTCGGTCTTCCTCTTTCACTGCCCCTCTACTTCACCGAACACGATGTCCTTCTCCAGGGACTGGTCTCTCCTGACAATACGTGAGAGGAAGTCTCGCCATCCTGGCCTCTAAGGAGCGCTCTGGCCATACTTCTTCCAAGACAGACCGGCTTGTCCTTTTAGCAGTCATGGTCCTTTCAATATCTTCTCCAGCACAATTCAAATACATCGATTTTCCTCTGGTCGGTCTGCCGCATTCAGTGTCCAACTTTCCCCTGCATCTAGAGGAGGCAATGGAGAACACCGTGGCTGGGATCAGAAGTACCGTAGTTCTCAGAGCAACATCCTTGCGCTCCAGTACTTGAAAGAGGTCACGTGCAGCAATTCACCTAATGTACTGCGTCTTTGACTGCTGCTTCCGTGAGCACTGACGGCGGATCCAGGCAAGACAAAACCATCGACAACGTCAAACCTTTCTTCCATGGATCATGATGTTACCTATTGGTCCAGCTGCGAGGATCTGGGTCTGCTTCACGCTGAGTTGTAATTC